CACTTGAGTCCGGGAGCCTGAGGTTGCAGGGAGGCAGAGATTGCAGCGAGCCAAGATCCTGCCACTACACTCCAGCCTGGGTGACAGAGTAAGACGCTGTCCCAAATAACTTAAAACAGGTTTAAAACACATGGAATATAGGATATTTGTTTTTAAATCTATGTGAGAAATCATTTAAAAAAGGAGAAAGACTGTGCCAGAAATTTGGAATAAGATAGTAATAATAATTGAGCAGTTTTAGTTCCTAGCTATATTCCTGGATACCGTAAGAGGGGTCAGGGGAGTGAGGGTTATACAGTTTTTATTATTAAAGGACAAAAACTCATCTGAAGAGAGAGGCTTGTTGATTTGCAATTCTAGGTTGACTTTGGCACTTTAATCCTCAAAAAAGGTACAAAGAATACTATAGTGAACAATCTATTTAACTCTTTAATTGTTTTTGTAAAGATACAATAACGTTTTAAAAATATCACTCCTTCATAAAAGCAAGGTCTTGACATTAAATGGTCACTGCTGAAGGCATTTCTGTAGGCTGCCTACTTGCTGTGCTGTGGTTTAGGTAAATAGCCTCCTGGAGACCAAATTTTAAATAGTTAATAAAGTTTAGGGAAACTAAATGAATGTGAGACTACTTGTCCCTTAGCCCGTGCTGCTCAAACATATTATTTCCACTTCATTTTTGGCAGGACCAGAGTGACAACTGCTTGAAGGCCTCATAGTCAGGGGTCATTGATCCAGGATGCTCCATTATTTTTATATTGGAGGTTCCCAGGAATTGTAAAGGACTTTCATTTAAAGTACGTATTTCAGGGTCCAACCATGAGAGATTCTGACTTAGTTCATCTGGAATGGGGCCCAGAAATCTGATTTCAACAAGCCTTCCAAGTGACCTTGAGGCAGGTGGTACTCAGGTCACACTTAGAGAAACCCTGTCGGAGGTCAGATGAGTTGATAGGAAAGTTATGAGAACTGAGGAGTGTTACTTGTATTTTAGCTTCTGAATAGAGTAGACCAGAGGGTTCCCTATGGTTCCACCACAATATTTCTCAGAAGAGCCTTTCATCTGCTTAAGTGTTTTGTTTGGACAAATTCTAGGATCGCAAAAAGCATGAAAAAAAATGTTTTGCCTTAAAATGTATTGTCAGTGTCCTCATTCAGGCTGCCATGACAAAATATCATAGAATGGGTGACTAAAAAAACAAACAAACAAAAAAACCCAGAAATTTATTTTCTTCCAGTTCTGGAGACTGGAAGTCTGAGATCAGGGTGCCAGCATATTCGGTTTTTGGAGAGGTACCTTGTAGGTGGCCACCTTCTCGATGTTTCCTTACATAGGAGGTAGCAGGGTGAGGGGAGCAAGTCCTTTTGTCCTATAAAGGCACTAATCCCATCATCAGAGCCCCATCTTTATGATCCTATGATTTCATAATAATCTCCCAAAGGCTCTATCTCCAAATACTATCACATTAAGGGTTAGGGCTTCAACATACGAATTTTGTGGGGACACAATTTGGCAGTTGGATATTACTAGCTATCTGTATTAGTCAAAAGATGCTTAAACATGGCCCTCATAGATCTGCGGGTCAGTGGTACTCCAATGCTTTTACTAGAAAGACGTCCCTGCAGAATGTACTGTCACAGTGTTGAATGACCCATTGGATGAAGATCAGAGGGTAGGAAATTCCTGGCAAAATAATTTTAGTGTTAACATTGCTAGAGTTAAACATTCTGTCCCATTCACCCACATTCCTTCCGTATTTTTCATGCTAGAAGAGATACATTGTCAAGGCCAGCTGAGATTATGTTTATGTATTGTGGATGATGTGAATATTGACTCGTTCCATCAGTTCAGACTAATGAAATTTATCTTAGTACTATAAGGAAAGTTAACAAAAAGACACTTCGATTTGTGAATTTACCATGAGTGACATTGTCAGCTCTTTTATTTTGATAAAACAGTGTAATTTGTTCTAATTGAGATATCTGACTTCTCAGTGTCAGAAGTTTTTAAAGACAAAATAAAAATGACATGTGATTTGTTCTAAAATCAGACATTTCAGTTCAAATATATAGTATGGAGGTATAGCTTCTGAAAGAATAAGATAGTATTAAGAAAAAACCTAAAATACTAAGAAATATAAAGGAAAAATTCATGAAAGAATGATGTCCTAATATTCTCACCCCAGTGTCTTTTGGGAGAAATAATAGGATTTTTATAAATGATTTTCCCTGTAGGTAGCAATCATTAAATTAAAAGCGTTTCCACCAAGATGTCACACTTTAATAAGGGTTTATTTTCCCAAAGATAACCCCTCTGAGTATTGAAATTCTGACATATATACTCCGCATATATTTCCTCTCATCGATACATAATATTTTATACAACATGGAATTTCTTGTCATTTGAAGAATATCAATTCATAGATTAATAATAAAAATATTGACCCAATGAAGTCAGTACCACTAATAGTCATAAAATATACTTATTGCTATCATATTTACAAGATTTGTTTAAAATCCTTGTCATAGAGTTTGGTCTTGAGACAAAGTTCTCTTCTATGCAGTTCTTGTCCACCTAAAAGTCATTATTATACCAACACACACACACACACACCCCACACATGTCCCCCAACTCAGACTTGCACCCTGCCCTGCCCTTGTCTCCCACACATACCACACATCATACACTCTACTCCACACCCTCCCCTACACACCATACCCTACTCATAACAGCCAAATACAGGACATTTATTTCACTTCAGAAAGATTATAATGTAATGATTTCTAATAAATACTTATATTTTAACATTTTTGTCAACTAAGGGATTAAAAAATGAAAATTTTAATAAATAAAAATGTAAAACATTAATTTTATGTTTAATAAAGAGATTCACACTGTGGTTAAAACTATTCAAAATATGCAAGAGGGTATAAGTGAAAAGTGAAAGTCCCCCTTCCTCTATGACTTCTTAGTCCCAGCCCAGATATGACTTCAAAAGCTTCATGTGTTGATTTCTAGAAATTGCTACATACGTATGTGTATATAAAGCAAATATGTTTATTTAATTTTTAAAAGTTGATCAGTTGACACTAGTCGAGCCATTAGAATTGGGTGCCAGTCACAGCACTGTGTCCTTGCATAAGTCAACAAGCCTCTATGGGGACCCCTTTAGTTGCCATACCTCTATAGAGTCAGGCTTGCCCAGCCACATTTGCCTTAGTCCCTATCCGGGAGACCTTCTGCCAGTGGCTTCTGTGCTCCTCTCTCTGTTTGGGGCCCTCAGAGCTGAAAACGGAGTTGGCACTGGGCTGCCTCTGATTCCTCTTGCCAGGGAAGCTTCCCAATTTAGTCATCCACCCCAGACACCCAGGGAGGCCGGTATCCTCTCTAGTTAATTTTCAACTTCTGACTCCACGAATACAGTTTTTTCAATGGTATGAGGTATTTCTGGAATATATATTCTAGAAATAAAGCATTTTCTTTTCTAGCCATTCACTTTTAACTTTGACTTATTTGCTTCAAAAGTCAGTATTGTGGAAAAAGCTTTATCTGGTACTTTTTGGTACAATTCATCCCACCAAAAATCACAGATTTTTAAAAGGAAGTTATCTTGAATGTTGGAACTGGGTAAGGTAAGGTATAGATTTATACTATATTTGTGCAATATTTTAATAGCCACCAAAATATTGCACAGACTATTGAAAGATTATAGATAGTCACAATGTTAAAAGTGTTTATTTAGCATTGTTTTTCAGAGACCCTGAATTTCTGAAAAAGCTTTTTATTCATGAGGAAAATCTGGAGAACTTTATAAAATTTGATTTTATACCTGGCATAAGGATGATGCACAAGGAAATGAAATTATTTACCTAGCATCACGGAAATTAAGATGTGAACTCAAATCACTGTACACATCAATTGACATAACTTTTATAATGCAGCTAAATAAATCTCAACTAATGTGGTTGTGTTAGGATTTCAGTGCACATTGATCTGGATGTACAAATAGTGCCCAGCTGCTTTACTCACAAAGTAATTCTAGTGATTTTTAAACCATAATCAAACCTTATCCTTTCAGTTCCAAGAGGCAAATATGTAATACTAGTAATTAAATAATTCTCATTACAAAGGCACAGTTGTTTTCAATAAAGTCAATCTAGGTTGATGCTCAAATTTTTAAATTGCTAAATCTTGTCTGCATCTTTGAAAAGATAAATCCTATAACTTGGGGATGGGTGAATCCCCTTAAGAGAAATGCATAAGGTGGAGGGTGTGGGGGCGAGTGGCACGTATCTGTAGTCCTAGCTACTTGGGAGGCGGAGGCGGAGGATTGCTTGAGCCTAAGAGTTCAGGGCTGCAGCTGTGATCTTGCCACTGCACTCTAGCTTGAGCCACAGAGACCCTGTCTCTAAAAAAATATTTAAATAAACAAAAATTTTAAAGAGAAAAAGATAAGAAACTAAGATCCTGCAAGATGATGCTTGGCCTAAACCCTGTGCTTTTTTAAGGGGCTGAGGGTCAATGATTTTATTTAGTTAAAAGGATGCAATGACTTGGCAGGAGTGTTTTGGTCTCATTCTTGAAAAAATTAACTTCCCTTAGCCTTCAAGCCTAGTACTTTAATGCCAAGTACCTGCAAGCCTCAATGTCCAAGACTTTTAAGAGCAGAAGGTACGATGAGTTACATCTTTACTAGGGTCACAAGGAAGGCATGGGTATATGGAAATTTGTGTTATTCCATCTGAATATCATGGTCTAGAGAACAGGAGCATTTGTTCTGAAGGGCTACCGGCTCCCTTCTGGGATCTAGCAGCCAGGGTTAGATCACAGGTGTCACTTTCAGGCAAGTAGTTAGCAACGATATCGCTAGCAACTGAGCCGGCCCCCTGCAGACAGAGGTTTGCAGTGGGTACTGTGTATTACAGAAAGGGCCCTGACATGTGAAAGGAAGGAATATGCCCTAATATTCTACAGTTGTTTTGTCGTTGCTACTGATTAGGTCCATGGAGGGAAGCCCATCCCTGAGACGCATGACGGTGATGCGGGAGAAGGGCCGCCGCCAGGCTGTCAGGGGCCCGGCCTTCATGTTCAATGACCGGGGCACCAGCCTCACCGCCGAGGAGGAGCGCTTCCTCGACGCCGCCGAGTACGGCAACATCCCAGTGGTGCGCAAAATGCTGGAGGAGTCCAAGACGCTGAACGTCAACTGCGTGGACTACATGGGCCAGAACGCGCTGCAGCTGGCTGTGGGCAACGAGCACCTGGAGGTGACCGAGCTGCTGCTCAAGAAGGAGAACCTGGCGCGCATTGGCGACGCCCTGCTGCTCGCCATCAGCAAGGGCTACGTGCGCATCGTAGAGGCCATCCTCAACCACCCTGGCTTCGCCGCCAGCAAGCGCCTCACCCTCAGCCCCTGCGAGCAGGAGCTGCAGGACGACGACTTCTACGCTTACGACGAGGACGGCACGCGCTTCTCGCCGGACATCACCCCCATCATCCTGGCGGCGCACTGCCAGAAATACGAAGTGGTACACATGCTGCTGATGAAGGGCGCCAGGATCGAGCGGCCGCACGACTATTTCTGCAAGTGCGGGGACTGCATGGAGAAGCAGAGGCACGATTCCTTCAGCCACTCGCGCTCGAGGATCAACGCCTATAAGGGGCTGGCCAGCCCGGCGTACCTCTCGTTGTCCAGCGAAGACCCAGTGCTCACGGCCCTAGAGCTCAGCAACGAGCTGGCCAAGCTGGCCAACATAGAGAAGGAGTTCAAGGTAAGCTTTGCGCTCTACCCCGGCTGCTCTGCGTGCTCACCCACTTCCCCACTGCTGCCTGGCCCGCTCTGCCACCGTTCGTTCCACATTCGATTTTGCCCAGTGAATGTGAAATCACGAGGGACTGAGAGCATCATTCAGACCTCGTCTGATGTTTTCTTTCTCCCTCTCAATGATGGTGCTGTGACAAATTCGCTTTGGGGATCCAGTATTCTGGATCAGAGAGCTATAATTATGGTGCCGCTCTGTGTTCTGGGTAAGCATTAAATAAAACTCAAGATTTCTCCCCTTTTTGCTAAAAGGAGGGCTTTGGTGTGACTTTTTGTCTTCCAAATCCTTCCTCCTGTTTTGTAGTTAGTTGTATGGTAGCACATAAGTAGTAATAGTTTGTTTTATTTCCCCTGAGGGAGTGTACCGTTTCTGGAGTTCCTGCAATACTAGGTCTGTGTTGGACTGGACAGAGCAAGCTCCCATTCCATCTCCACGATAGTGTTAGTTTTGAATGCACTGTTCATTGGCCCAAGCATTTGTGTATCCCTTTAGAATCAAAAGTCAAAAGACCAATAAAAAATACTATTAAAGTCATTTCACTGATATGACAAAATGCCTTTCCCTGAATTCCGCATATGTATATTCAGAATGGTGAGCCGCAGATGTCAGTTCAATCTAGAAATATGAGGACAGCAAAGTGATTTGCTTTAAGGGATTTTTTTAATGAGTGAACTTTTTTCCTGGACATTATTTTCAGTCAAGCAGTATTATTTATTTTTATAAAAATTATACATTAACGACAGGTCATTTTTTATTTTTTGATCAGTTGCTACCTCCTCCTATGCATTTTGATTGGTTCTGGCTACTAAATCTGGGTATTTCATAGTTCTGATCATATCATTTAGACTGTTTTTGGCAGGTTCTTGTCTCCCATTTCCCATCTAAAAAGATGATTGTAGACATCAATTCCTTAAATTATTTTCTAGATGCTAAGTTAATCTTTTTAGTTGAGTGTTATGGTGTCAGATCACAGAAAAAGTGATTATTCTTTCACATCTGAATATAGTTTTTATAGTTAGTGAGATTTACACAAATGCAACTAGCAATATAATTCAGGTTACAGAAAATATACTTTGTCCCGGTGTTGCAAGAAAATGGTGGGAAAGTGGTCCCATCCCTTTTCCATACACACAAAATTCCCTGGATATCCATCAATGCTCATTTTGTCCCAGTGGAGATCTGGACTTACTATAATTTTGTTAATCCATTAAAATTTTTTTCTGATGTAAAAGCTACACACACTTATTGTAAAAAATTTCCAAAAAAGGTAAAATACAAAGAAGAAAGTAAAGGTTACCTTATATCTAATCCCTTTGAGGAAATTCATTATGTGGTATTTGAAAAGATTTATTTTCTTGGCCCCCAAATGATTTTTTTTTTAGATAGAACTCAGAGCAAGTTGGAAACTCCAAATTCTGTTTAGAGACAGTAGAAAAGCACGTAGGTAAAGCACTTTTAAATATCACTTTGTTATTTTGAAACAGTAATTAAAACATAATTCTAAACGTATTTATTTGCCACTGTTTCAAATGCCACACAAACCTTGTTTTTACACATTTTTCTTGATATATACTGAAAGTCTGCAAGAGATTCTATAAAAGGGAATATTTTCTAAGATCATGTTTTAATAATTTACTAAAGATGGTGATGTTTGCAATTCCACCCAGAGACGTCAGCTCAGTGCAACTATGGTAAGAGAATTTGTTATTCATAGTTTTACCCTGAAGCTGGCTAGATCCATATTGGTAATGCTTAGAATCTCTTTCATTGTAACTTAAAGAGTCACCTCTGATAACCTTTCAAGGGTGGGGAAATATCACAAATGAAGAGGCAAAAAGAGAGAAAACACAGTTGAATTCTAGAGAACATCTATAAAGCTGCCAAATATCTATAAGGATATGCAAAAATCATCTAAATCTCCCAGTTCTTTTTTCTAGATTATATGGAAAGTGCTTGTGTAGCAAGATAGCCCTCTCTGAGCCGAAATTAAGACAGTTCTTTAGAAATTATAGTCTCCGAGGACTTCACGTCTCTCTCCCCTAACTCAATGTGCCTTTTCTCTCTCATTTTTGCCTGTCCTTGTTATTCCTTTCTTATCTGTCTTTATTTCACCTTTCTCCCCTCTTGTCCCATGTTCATGTCCATCTGTCAGGGCTTTAGACAGACAGAGAAAATAGTGCTTCCATAGCACTGACCCAGAGACTCTGAGCTCTGAAAAGGCAGTGAAAATGAAGCTCATTTCTGAGGCAAGCAGGTAACCTAATTTGCCCTATTCCATGGTGTTCGCTATATTCTTCCCATGGGGACTTTGAGCTCAAAGTGTTAGCCTTGAAATAAAAAAAAATAGTTCCCTAGTGAAAAAGAGGTGATTTTTTTTCCTTTTAAAACACCTATATTTATTTTATCTTATCAATGGCCCATAATATCTAGTATCTCACCCCTGAAATTGCCATCATTTAGGTGCTTCAGAGAAGATTCTCAGCCACTCTGCAGTTTTCACATTTCTTTGAGAAATGTAGTAGGCATGGTGCTGAAAACATGTGAAGGTCAATACCCTAAGAGGTCAAACATTCTAGGATACAGATTTAGATAAATTAGTGGAGGATAGCTCCGTGACAGGTTATTAAAGAAATATTTTGGATGTGCAAATGCCATTTGAAGCTATTCTGAGAAACAGAATATTGGAAGGATAGACTCTTGGTCTAATCCTCCAAAATGTCAGTGGCAAGGAAGCCAGTCATTTATTAAGCTGTGAGAACGCAAATTGAAATTTTCTAGTTCTGACTGAGTCATGACGCACCTTTTTTGTAAAAATAAGGAAGTGGGGAGAGGCGTTTGCTTCCCCGTGCCTCAGTTTTCCTCTCCTTAAAGTAAAAAAACAATTTCACCTTATATCACACTACAGCTGTAAGGAAGAAAAAAAAAAATGAATATAAAAAGCAAGATGACATTTTATAGCAGGAAAATACTCTAGGAATCATCTTTAATTTTGCAAAAGAGAAAGCAAAGGCTATAGGCAACATTTCATATGCTAAGCCTAGATTTGAGTGTCTTGAGTCCCAGTCGTAGGTATTGTATCTAATATAATGTACCTGGTAATATCGAAGCACTTCTTAGCACCTAATTTGTACCAAACATGTTCTAAGCATTTAATCCTCATAGTACCAATATTGGGTAGGATTGATTATTCATGTCAGAGACGTAAAGTGAATTCCACAATATCACACAGCCAGTAGGTGGTAAAGCAGTATTTGAGCCCAGGAAGTCTGGCTTCAGACTCTATGCTTTTAATCACTATGATAACTTGCCTCTTTTGTTATTAGGGAAAGGGCCTGACAGAACCAAGCCTGTTAAGAGTTGAATTTCAGTTTTCCTCTTCAGGATAAAAAAGGACTAGAATGATAATTAAACCACATACATTAAAAGGAGTGTGCAGAACCTGTAGATATATTGTAATGAAGACTGAACTTCATTATTCTTCCTCTGGCTTGAGCGGATCCTTAGGGTTTTAAGTTCTGCTCTATAGGGTGTGCAGTAGGTCCACCTGCTAACTGTGGAGGGCTGTGGTAATGGATGAGTGGTTTATTAAAGACCATTATGCAAAAGTAACTTAAAAGAAAATTATTAGAAAATGTAGACCAGAAAATGGTCTGATCTGTGAAGTAACATGGAATTACCATTCAATGCGGCCTCATGGTGGAATTAAGAGTCGATGTGGACATGATTGCTTTTGCAGCTGAAGAGAGGCTGTTCTTAGCTGGAGTTCTCCATCTTTCCCAGCGAGCTCTGCATAGGTTTAAAAAAAGGTATCCAATTACTGTAACAAAAGAAATCACCATTATCTCCAGTTCTGATTATTTTCTGCACTCTGGCAACAGACTTCTTTAAGTGGGAAATGTTTAAATTGTTATAAAAAACAGTGCTGTCCTTGCAACATGTTTGATTATCAGTTTTTTGGATTATTTACTGATCTTTCAGTGGATGTGAAAAAAAGCTTTCCTTAAAACTAAACAGTTTATAGACTATAATTTTATAGGTAATGAGTTATTATTTAGGTATTACTGCAGATGTGGGTACTATGTTTTCTTCAAAGCATGGAAAGTAGCCTCTTTCTATTTCTGATCAATGGAGAAATGACCACCCTATGTTGTACCAAATCTTACAGAACAGTCTGAACTGAAGAATAACATGAGGAAATTTCATCTAAAAAAATCGTATTAAAAGGGAAGCTTTATATGGAAACGGGCATGGATTTAATACTTCTTCTGGATGCTATAATAAAATATTTCATTAGTCTTTCAGGAATGGAAAGCAGATGGATATTTAACTGACACTCTGCACAGAAACCAGAGACTGAACATTTTATTAATTTTATCAGTTGCATGGTACCAACTTGAATGGAAACTAAAGATTGAAGTTTTATTCATTTTATCTGTTCCCTTATGAGGGGAAAAGGATTAACTGTAACTGTTCTTTATCTGAATTTCTGATATCTGAAATGGAAACTATTCTAATCTGTGTAGCCTTTAAACAGTCTCTCTTCTTCTTGTTTATTTTAGCTGATGACGTGGTTTTGCCCATCAAATCACATTAATTATTTAAAGGAAAAAAATTGGAATTCTTCACGTCTTTTTTTTTAAGTATGATTTTTGGAAGCCCAGTAATTCTACTGTGCCAAATATTACTTAGTTATATAGACACTTACAGTGTCTCAGGACATATTACAGTGGGGAATTCTGTTTTCCTCAAGTGTTCCACATTAGATTATTATCTGGTTAGCCTTCCTAATAGGCTAGAATTTTAGTGAAAGTCATAAAAGTGGAACTAGGGTTTCCAAAAATGAGACACTTGCTCAGGAGATGGTTGTTGACACCTTCATTAGAACAAATGGACTAGAAACAAAGCTCCATTCAGAAGGCAACAAGGAATGCTACCAACTGACTTACTTATAGTAGTCCACGGCAGTATATAAGTATGCAAATGAAATTAAAGATTCATGGATTATTTTTAGCAAGGTGTTAGTTCCAGTGGCCTGGAAATTTTTCTCTCAGGTACTGAATTCTGTAACCCTTGAGAATTCCATTACATACAATGATATATTTCTCTTCTTCTAGTTCTGCGGGGCACAATAATATGCCCTTCAGACAAACAAACAAACAGAAAACCCTCTGTATACAGGTGGGTATCCATCTACCTCTCTACAGTTGTTACAAACCAGTTATTCTCAAACATAACATGTATCAGAATCATCTGGAGGGTGTGTGAAAACACACACAGATTGCTGGGCCCTTCTTCAGTTTCTAAATCAGGACATGTGGGCTGGGGTCTGAGAATTTACATTTCTAACACATACCCAGGTGCTGCTGATGCTGCTGTTCTGAGGACTACACTTTGAGAAGCAATGTCTCCAGTAAGGCAAGGGGTAATGAACTGGACAAGTTATTTTTCACTGTCAACCTAAATAACAGAGAGCGAGGTTCTCTAAAAGAAAATGAGGCCGGGTGCAGTGACTCACGCCTGTAATCCCAGCACTTTGGGAGGCCCAGCTGGGCAGATCATTTGAGGTCAGGAGTTCAAGACCAGCCTGACTAATATGGTGAAACCCCATCTCTACTGAAAATACAAAAAATAGCTGGGTGTGGTGTCACCTGCCTGTAATCCCAGCTACTTGAGAGGTTGAGACAGGAGAATTGCTTGAACCTGGGAGGCGGAGGTTGCAGTGAGCCAAGATTGTGCCACTGCGCTCCAGCCTGGTGACAGAGCAAGACTCCATCTCAAAAAAAAAAAAAAAATAGAAAATCATATTTATCTGGGAATGTAATATTGCAGTGGAAATACAAGTGACATGGTAAACTCTGTGTGTATTCAGGGAGGTAAAGAAAGACAAGTTTTTTAAAAGAAAAGTGAAGAGGGCCACACTCCAGGAACAATAACAAAGGCAGAGCTAGTCCAAAGTTGTACAGGCAGTTGCTGGGCAGACGTCCTCACAGAGGTATTTTTTGTGTAAGGTTGCGATGGCCTTTATGCAAGGTTATGGTTTTTGCACTCTCTTGTGATAGTTTTGTGTGTGAGAACCCTCCCTTCATGGCTTTCTCTGACCCTATTAGTCAGGGTTTTTTGTTTTGTGTTTTTTTTAACACAGTTGACTTAGTTTTGACAACTTTCATATCACATATAGTTGATCTTCTACATCAAATTGCCATTTTAGAAAAATGTCCATTATAGAAAAATTTCCAATGTAGAAATGGTCTTGTTTTGACTTTACAAGAACTATTGTTTGTACAAAAGAGAGAAAACTCTTTGATCCTTTGGTCTTTCAGCATACAATTTTTTGAGTAAATGCTTTTTAAAATTTTTAATTGACAAATAATTATTGTATATATTTATGGGGTACCATGGGATGCTTCGATAGATGTATACAATGTGAAATGATTAAATCAAGCTAATTAACATATCTATCACCTCACATTACTATTTGTGGTAGTGAGATATTTGAAATTTACTCATCAATTTTGAAGTATATAATATAGTATTAAAGCTATAGTCACTGTGCTGTGCAGATAGATCTCAAAAACTTACTTCTCCTGTCTAAATGAAACTTTGTTCACTTTGACCAATATCTCCTCATTTCATCTCTACTTTACCCTACCTCTTACTCCCACCCCCTGCCTCTGGTAGCCACTTTTCTATTGTCTGAGTTTGACTTTTTTAGATTCCACATATAAGTGAGATTATTATCAAGCCATTTTCAGAACTATCTCGGATGGTTGGGCTGTTTGCAGGAGAAGGAAACCTGGCTAAGGGGTTGGGTGGGTGCAAATCCAGCCTGTATTCAGTTCAACAAGCCTTGCATCCAGGTAGGCTGCAGCTTTCTACCCCCAAAAGAAGGGATACCTTTTTCTAATTCACCCAAACACTTTCCATTGAATAAAAGCAAATTATTTGTGTTAAAACACTAAATCTCTTGTTCTTAGAATGACTATCGGAAGCTCTCCATGCAGTGCAAAGACTTTGTAGTGGGTGTGCTGGATCTCTGCCGAGACTCAGAAGAGGTAGAAGCCATTCTGAATGGAGATCTGGAATCAGCAGAACCTCTGGAGGTACACAGGCACAAAGCTTCATTAAGTCGTGTCAAACTTGCCATTAAGTATGAAGTCAAAAAGGTGAGTGGGCCTACTTTCATCTAGTTTCATATTAGAATAAACATGTAATACAAGCTATGCCATAATCGTAGGAAAATTATTAAAATAATAAGACTAGATGCTAGTAGGCTGGGCAACATAGTTAGACCGTGTCTACAAAAAATAAACAAAATTAGCTGGGCATGATGGCATGTGCCTGTAATCCCAGCACTTTGGGAGGCCAAAGCAGGAGGATCACTTGAGGCCAGGTGTTCAAGACCAGCTGGGCAACTTAGCGAGACCCTGTCTCTACTAAAAATTTAAAAATTAGCCAGACATGGTGGCACGTGCCTGTAATTCCAGCTACTTGGGAGGCTGAGGTGGGAGGATCACTTGAGCCCAGGAGATTTGAAGCTGCAGTGAGCAACGATAGCACCACTGCACTCCAGCCTGGGCAACAGAGCAAGCAAGTCCTTGTCTCAAAAAATAAAATAAAAAATAGATGCTATTGATAAAAGATTTTTTTGTGGGGGGTAAAGTTGCAAGTTAAATGTGTAGCTTCTGATACTTTCTAGTTTTTACCCATGGTGGGACCTTGAATAAGTCATAAATTTGTGAATTTCAGTTCCCTCATGTACAAGGAGGATAATATCTCTTATCTCTCTCAGGGTTTTGGTGGAATTTAAATGGGTTATGATATGCAAAAGCACTCTGTAAACTGTTAATTACAATACAATTAATAATGCTGTTACTCGTATATGTTTTTGTAAGTCACTTTTACATTCTTATGTGAATCCTTGTAGCAAGTCTGTTATTATTCATTTTATCTACAAAATACATCAGTAGATGATGGGGTTTCTATTCTACAAGAAAACTGAGAATTGCCAAGCTTCAATGATGTGTCTAAGGTCACACAGCTTTGGAGTTGGTCATGCAGGTGCCAGAAATAAAAATTATGATTTTTTACTCTGGTTACTGCAGAAAAACTGTTATGTGTTTCTATTTGCCAACTTGTATGGGGCTTTTAAATAATTCATAAAAATTGTAGTTGTAATGTTTCACAATAATCAGTATCTCAGTTATCCAGAATCCACTACTTTATACATGTTATGTAACAGATATTTTGTACTTTAAGAGAAACTGATAAATCACAAAGAAATAATCTGTTATCAGCTCTGGTTTTATGAAGTTGATCAATTTACAAAGAGACAAGTGTTCTGTCTTTTCTGCAGTGTGACATGGTGCTTAAGAGGACAGACACTAGAGCCAACCTGTAAGGATTCAGGTCCCGACACCACCATGTGCTCCTGTGTGACCATGGGCAAGTCACCTAACCATCCAGGCCTCCATCTGCTCACTAGTAAAGTGAAGACAATAGTTGTACCTACTTATTCATTTAAGGATTGCATGAGATAATGCATGTAAAGTAATTAGCACACAGTAGTACATGGTGATTGCTCAATAAGTATTAGCTATTAATAATAACATTTCTACATTATGAAAATTCATACCCAGAGTGATGACTCTTAAGCTAGTTAATCCTCAGTCATCAAAGACAGATTTCATGCCCCTTGTACTGAATCAAGTCCTTAGTAAGAGGAATTTATTTAAGCAGGAAGGAATTTAGTGAGTGATATTGAGGAAGCTCACAGAATCCTAAGAAGAGGTACAGGAACAAGCTTATCTAAGCTGTGCTTCCAAAAACCTCACCCAGAACCAGGCACAGCGCTGACCTGCTAAGGGAGTTTCTGTGGCCCAAATGGAACAATTCTGTCTCTGCTGCTCCCATATCAGCACAGAGAGGATGCTCTGAATCCTGCCTGTTTTCATATGGCTCTTTCCACTGGTCAAAATGCCTCTGATCAGTGGACCTAAGCCAATGTTTGCACCCTAGCAGCAAGTGAGGATGGGGAAATCTCTCTCACTCTGTCTCTGTCTCTTTCTCCTCTTTCTCTCTCCCCTCCTGTCTGTCTTTCTCTCTTCTGACACACATACTTCTGCTACCACAATGTAGAAAACTTATACACATAGTATTTGCAAGATTTTGGTCAACCATTAATGGCAGATCTCTCCTCTATTTCATAAGACAGTCAAATGTGAAGATTCTCAGTAAAGATGGAAATAAAACCACTTTTCAAAGAAAGTATGTTACAAGATAATTAAATTGGCTAAATTGCCCTCCTCTCAGAGCGTTCTTGCTAGTTGAGGTTTAGTTATTAATATATTGAGGGAAAAGGATAATTTTGAGCAAGATTGATAGTAAACTGTTTTCCAGAAAACTCTGTGGACATATATTCACACATCCTGCAATATGTATCTCTTTTCTTTGACACCTGAGAGAATTGATTTCAGTAGTCACTGGTTTTTTATCATTGCTTTGAAAGTGTTATATGAGCAGAGAAATCATCTACACTTGTGCTTCTGTCAACTAAACTGCCTTGCAGAGTTTCTTTCTTCCTGCATGTTAACTTTAAATAAATTGGCGTGTAGGTTACAGTGTATGAGGTGTCGTTAATAATAAATTGATACCAGTCAACCATCAGGCAACCCAAAAAAATATTTAGAACTGTAAGGAGATTCAGGACTTTGCAAACCTTCCTGGTTTTGTTTGTTTTATGCTATAAAAGGAGTATTAATTAAAGTCTTTGATTTGGAATCCTCACTCAATAAATGCATGTAAAAATTATATTCTAGAATAATAAATGTACGTAAGAATTCTGTTCTAGAATAATAAATGTGTATAAGAATTATATTCCAGAGTACTTGCAAAGCCCCAATTCCTCCTTTCTTTCTTCCTTTCAAAGGCTTCCTTCATTTTCAGTCAACACTCACCCGTCTTCACTCTCACAAGGAGGAAAAATATCACCCTACCCACTCCTGCTGCTTCCTTTTCCCACCATATCATTTCTAGTCTCCAAGCAAAACCACATCTTGGGTTATAATGATGCATAAACCCTGCCCACTCTAGCACAGAGGTAGTCTATGGCCATATGCAAGTCATTGGGATTTCAAAGTAACTTTATATGGACTCCCCTAACCCCTGATAACATAATAAACTCATATTTATTCAAATCAACCCGTAATTCCACCAAGGAAACCATTCCTATCTAATGGTAAGCCATATTGGCCGCATATGAGACTCAGGAAGTCTTTCTTCTACCGACTGCCCAAGACCTACTCCCAGCTTTGGTTCCGAGTCTGTTGTCTTCTAACTGGGCTCAAGATTCCCAGAGCTCTGGTCTTTCCTAGAAATCAAAGCATGAGTTCAACCCAGGCCTTACAGAACTCAATGATACTTAATCCAGTAAATGAATATATAAAACACCAGAATAGAAACTATCTGACCATGAATTTAATGTTTATGTCAGAAAGGACTTTCTAATATAAAAGCAAAGGAATCTCAAAGCAAAAATACAAATAATCTGGTCACATGTAATTTAAAACCTCTGTATGACATCAGAAAGATTATAAACAAAAGAGTGAAGGGCAAACTGGGAAAATTTTTTTTTTATTATAACTCACAAAAGATTGATCTTCTTAATATGTCAAGAACTCAAACAAATTTGTAAGGAAAACATCCAGAGCCCTGTAGAAAAATTAGCACAAGGTTTGAATAGGCATGTCATAGAAGAGAAAATTCAAATGACTAACATCCATATTTAAAATTTTCAGACCTTCTAGTGATAAACGTATGCTAATGTACAAATACCATTTTCCTTGTCTCAAACTAAGAAAGAATAAAAATTTATAATTCTCAGTGCTGATAGTAAAACAGCAACCATCTGCCTGCATCTTTACTAACAGGGAATGGATTTTGGAGATTATTCATCCTAAAATCTTTTTTTTTTTTTTTTTTGAGATGGAGTCTCACTGTCACCCACACTTGAGTGCAGTGGTGAGATCTCGGCTCACTGCAACCTCCGCCTCCCGGGTCAAGCGATTTTCCTGCCTCAGCCTCCCGAGTAGCTGGGATTACAGGTGCCCATCACCATGCCTGGCTAATTTTTGTATTTTTAGTAGAGATGGGGTTTTACCATGTTGGCCAGGCTGGTCTTAAAATCCTGACCTCAAGTGATCCGCTCACCTCAGCCTCTCAGAGTGCTAGGATTACAGGTGTGAGCCACTGCGTCCAGCCTAAAATCATTTTTAAGGGATCTCTAAGGTAAATTATAAAGCTGGAAGGATAGTAAACGCTATTGCTATTTATAGAAATACCTATATTATTCTTTGAAAAGAGAATGGAATAGACTGGAAGGTGAAATTTGATTTTCTGAAAATGTGTACAGGAAAATTAATTTTTAGGCAAAAACACTAATTTTGTTTAATTAGAATAATGGACTGTTTGCCCCTTCCAAAAAGTCTTGAGTTCTAATTCTGACTCTACCTCTATCCTGCTCTGTGATGTGCAGCTGAACATTAATCCACTCCCCACCATAGAAATAACCAAAGTTCTACCTGCTTCACCATGAGCTATGTCTATTGTGAGAAAGTTTTTGACAAAAGATACTAAAGCTTGGTAGACCACTGAATCTGGAAAACTGGGCTCTCAGAAAGAGAAGGAGAACATTTCCTGAGTTCTTCCTTTCTGTTCTATTAATATTTCCTCCATAGTAGGATTAGATTTAAATGTAGAAAAGCCATCCTAAAAAGAAACATGCAGCAGTATAAACAGGATAAAAGCATCCATTGTGTATCCACTTTCTGTGCAAAAAGTATACAGGGGAAGCCCAGAATTAAAGAAATGCTAAGAGAGCGTTATAAATATGCCACTGAGACTTTGGAATGGGTGTGCCGGCTGGCACAGTCCTGTGTCCTGTACTGCGTGGCCTCTTGTCCTGGTCTTCCTCAGGCACCAAGAGATAACAGAGCATTTTTCACTCAGCAAGTTTGAAAATCCAGAAAACCTTTGCAATATAAGTTTTGGGTTTATATTTCACAATTCACTGAGTTTTAAAAAGAAGTTGAATTGCCTAGTTTTTATTTACAAGAATATTTTCCTTTAAATTGTATGAATTGTAGCTCTAACAGTATCATTAAAAACAAATCCAGAGTTCCTACCATGTTTTTACACAACAGTATTCCCATGAAGACAGTTCTTGTGAAGACTGATTTGATGCAAAACAGTGTAACATTAATTAATTTTTAAATTTGATTGTTTTCCCTAACCTGCCCTGATCAGTGATTCAGTTTATAATCTATTAGTCATTTGGCAAGAAAAAAACATTTCATTTGTTCTCAATGCTGATTTTCCAATTGAAAGATTGAGATTTTCTTGTGTCAAGCATTCTCTCTTTAAATCAGAAAACTCAAAATAAGGGTATTATTTTTGTGATAACTTCAATTTGCTGGTCCACTGAAGTTAGAAAACAGCATACAAATGTTATCCAGTTGGGTGTAACTGGTGTAGTGGCATAAGGAGATTTTTCAGGAGGTAAAACACTTTTCAGGTATAAAGGTCACTGCCCTATTTCGAAGTCATTGAAAAGACCAAAACTCATCTCCTAAAGGGATTAGCTTTTTTGCCTTCGCTTGCTATTATTGTACTGACTTTACTTTCTTTTTTGAAATGCCCCTTGTGTACTTGCATTAGGATTTTAAATCATTGGAGGAAAATCTGTTTGTGTGGATTAAATGAAATCAACAGAATCCATGAAGCGGTGTATAATTATCTCAAAAAAAAAAAAAAAAAAAAAAAAAGAGTAGAATTAGTAGCATAGTAGATAGACCTGTTAAGCTGAATTTTAAAGTGTAACAGGCAAAATGCAAAGACCACAATTTTGGTTACTACTTAATGTAGAGTAAGGGTTTGCACTGTTGTACAGGTTACATCAAGTCAAAGACTGACCATCATATATATGCCATATGGAAAGGATTGAGTCCATCAAGTCTTTGAAGCTGTGCAATCTTTATAAATATGTAATTAATGCCATAAAGCACATCTTCAAATTTAAAAATTAGTCCAAGGACAAGGAGTAGGAAAGGGAGATATACTATATAACATTAATATTTCTGTCCTCAAGAGTTTAAAACCTAAGAACGACCAGTGCCTTAGTCCACTTGTGTTGTTTTAATAGAATGCTGAGATGGAGAGACTTATACGAACAAAACTTTCTTGTCTCATGGTTCTGGAGGCTGGGAAGTCCAAGATCAAGGCAACAGTGGGTTTGGTAGTCTGGTGAGGGCTGCATCCTCTAGAGGGGAGGAACACTATGTCCTCACATGGTAGAAGAGTAGAAGAGCAAACTAGTTGAATGCTGCATAAAACCTTTTTTATAAGTGTCTTAATACCATTGACAAAGGAGCAGCCCTCATGGCCTAATCACCTCTTGAAGGCTCCACCTGTTAACTCTACCACATTGACAGCACCTGAATTTTGGAGGAGACACATTCAAATGATAGCTAACCAGATACTCACAAAAGGGGAATTTGTCCATCAATTCCATATAGACACATGTCTACCTGTCTCCTAACTTCATGGGAATTTTGTTTCCTACAGAAACCCTTGGTCTAAAAACTGCATTGTTGATATCCTAAGTGGTAATCTGATTTGATGACATTATATATTCCACCTGTAGTTTACCCTGAATGAACCATTACCTGTCCCAAGCTTAGCCTGGCTGCAGTCACCAGGGATGCCTTTTATTTATATCTGTCTAACTTCCCTCAAATGCAGATCCTTCAAATATCAAGATGATTGTACCAACATTCAAATTAAGACTATTTTAAATTCTGATTAGGCATCTTGACAAGCATATGAGTTGAAGCCTCAGTTATAATAGCTTATTTTGTGTCTATTCAAAGCTTACTGTGTACCCTAGAACAATGACCTCTTATCACTTAATTCAACTCTGATGCTTCCATTTTTATCTTCTTGTACCAATATACTTGCCCAATATACTTGCCAAATATACTGCCTGGATCTGGATCATACTGCCCCTGCCTGGATCATAGGAGGGGCTTAAGACATTTTGATGAGTGAATAAATGAATGAATGAATAAAGGACATTAGGGACCATAGAGGGAGAGGTGAAGCAGGAAGGAAATGATCTAAATACAGTACAGGAGCAGAAGTGGAAGTTTGGAGAAGTTCTCAACAAGAATCCTAGGAAGTTGTCACATATACCCAGGAAGCCTCAACTTTGATTATATTCATGAGTTCAAATAATGATTGCATTGGTCTGTGAAATGCTGTTTTCAAAATTACAACCTTGGAAAAGTGACAAAATCTTGGGTTTGGAGAGAAGATCTAATATATCCTTAGCAACTAGCAGCTACTGAAAATCAGGACCTGGGATTTTGAAAACTGAATGGAAAGGAACTCACATGATAAAATATGCTTCTTAGTTCAGGCTGCTGTAACTAAGTACCATAGGCTAGGTGGTTTATAAACAACAGAAATTTATTTCTCGGCCAGGTGCAGTGGCTCATGCCTGTAATCCCAGCACTTTGAGAGGCTAAGGCGGGCGGATCACATGAGGTTGAGAGTTCGAGACCAGCCTGACTGCCATGGAGAAACCCCGTCTCTACTAAAAATACAAAAAATTAGCCAGGCATGGTTGCACATACCTGTAATCTCAGCTACTCAGGAGGCTGAGGTAGGAGAATCGCTTGAACCTGGGAGGCGGAGGTTGCGGTGAGACAAGATTGTGCCATTGCACTCCAGCCCTGGGCAACAAGAGCGAAACTCCATCTCAAAAAAAAAAAAAAAGATTATTTCTTACAGTTCTGGAGGCTGGAAATCCAAAATCAGGATGCCAGCATGGTGAAGATCTGGTGAGGGCTCTCCTCTGGGTTGCAGACTGCTGACTTCTCATAGTATCCTCACATGGTGGAAAGAGAGCAAGCTCTCCCACCTCTTCCTGTCAGGGCACCAATCCCATTCATGAAGGCTCCTCCCTCATGATCTAATTACCTCCCGAAAGCCTAGCTTTCTAATACCCATCACACTGAGGCTTAGAATTTCAACATTATAACTCAGTTAATTATCTCAAATCTAATGTTCGTAAATTTATTCTCACCACCTCTGTCCGTGGGTCATTGAGTTCCCCTGTATGGTGGTGCAGAGGCAGCTGCCAGTGCAGCCATCAGTGGACTTCTCCACTGGGTGCACTCTGGGGGCAAAAGCAGGGATTTGGGGGAAATTGCACCTCCATCACCTGTCCTGGGAGATGAGACTTTCTTTTTTAATCAAAATTGTTCATGGGAAACTATGCACCAGTCAGTGGAAACCTGTGCGTTTCCTTGTAGGTGGGCTTTGATAAAGAGCCAAATATTAATAACTCTAGGAATTGCCTGGAGTTACTAAGAATCATCAGGATCATTAACTACAACTTGATTAAAGAGGAACCTTTTGACAAGTAGAAACTGCAGCTACTTTCTTTGTTTCTCAGTTCCCAAAAACATTTCATGGGTGTTTCTTAACAGGTTCATTATTACTGTTTGTTCTATTTTTTAGAAGACAGTGATACCTTGATTTTTGTGTTACTAAGAACTCTTTTAAAAAATATGTTGTCACTCATAGTTGATTTTTGAATTCCTGAGCTTGGACAAAGAACATATGGCCATTCATAAAAAGGCATATCTGGCTACAAATGGGCAGATTTTGGCATAAGGACCTTTACATGGGCCTGACTACAAATACATTCTGCTTCTTGAATAATGACAGGGCTTTAAAGAAATCCCAGTCCCTCTAAATGATGCAGGCAGATAACTTAACAAAATCAAATGGGAAAAAATCAAATGGCTGGGCTGAAATAAGTATAATTTGCTCATTTTTCCTGATTAGAATTTTATTTATTAAAGAACTGCTGAAGATAAATAGTCGTGATATTTTGACCTTTTGATAAAGGAAGCAATAAAAAAGAGGACAGGAGGGAAGTGACATTTGATGTCAGTTCCTGGAAGAAGTGCATGTGTAGACCCAGCATAATATTTGCAGGTTCATTGATTATTTTTCAGACCTTTTATAGATTTGCAGTAATAGTACATCATTACACAAAGGGCGAATCATGCATATTTTTTTTTATATGTAGCATTTTAGGGGTTGCTCACGAAACTTCACACATTTCTCTTTTAGCTATAGTCTACAATAAACCAAGTAACTTTTTTTCTTTTCCATTTTGAACTGAATGCAAGTAAGCTGGCCAACCGCAAGATGGGACACATTTTTACAAAAGAAGCCAGATGTCACCCAGATTCCACAGAGAAATCTATGAATCATGGAGGGTTTCTATCAAAAAGAACTATGATTAAGGACACCACCAATTTTATCCTCTCATTTCCATTCTAGTTCTTCTATTAGTTCTGAAATAATTTTGAAAAATGGAGAGAAAGCAAAGAAGAATATTACCAGAACCTTCCAGTACCAATATGCTAGAAAAATATGCTTTAATGTCTTTAGGATGCACGTGTATTTAATAGTTGAACTACTGACAATGGTATGGTAACTTACCTTTCTTTCCGCTTCTCAAACTCTCTCTCTCCCAACAGTTTGTGGCTCATCCCAACTGCCAGCAGCAGCTCTTGACAATCTGGTATGAGAACCTCTCAGGCCTAAGGGAGCAGACCATAGCGATCAAGTGTCTCGTTGTGCTGGTCGTGGCCCTGGGCCTTCCATTCCTTGCTATTGGCTACTGGATTGCACCTTGCAGCAGGGTACTCGCTTTCTACATCTATTTCCTCTCTAGTGGTGTACTGTGTCTCTTTGGGATAAAAAAAGAAAAAGCTTCATGCTTAAGACTCTTATCAGTTTTACTCTGAATGTTAATTGACTCAAGAACACAAATTCTCTTTTTTAATTACTGGATCAATTCAAATAAGGGATGAAAAAGGATTCGGTACCAGTGGGATAGATCACATTTGTAGGCATAAAGTACTTAGGCTCTTTTCAGATAAAATCCTCATGGTAGACAGAGAAGGAAAAGGTGCTTGAATGAAGTAGCACTTGTACTGATTTTATTGACAGCTTAATAAGTAGAGTGTCAGCTGGGTTGGCCTGTGAACAGACCGGGGAATGGAGAGCACTACAGCAGTAGTACCAAGAAGCAGTTACACTGGGAACTAGAAGGGCAACCCATTTGGACCTGTCAGAAGAAATCCAAGGTTGAGTGTGTGAAGCACAGTTGAGAACAGTGGTGTTATCCAAAGTCTTCAAGAAAATGCATGTCAGGTTCCCCTAGCCCTGTGTTAATTCATACAGTTCTTAAAAATGTAGGATTTAGGTTCAGGGATTTTAAGTTTTTTAAGATTGTTTATTGTTTTTGCTTGGATCATTTTGGTTAGTACCTTTATTCTCCTCTCAACTTTCCAATGTAAAATCAATTTAGTTGTGCCCAAGAGATCCCCTAGCAAGATGCGGAAAGGAATACTATTCATGCCAGTTATGGGCACTGCCAGAGAGAAGGAGCTGCGCTGAGATCCTTTAATCCTGTTTTTACATTCTGAAATTTGGTTTTGTTTAAATCAGAGGTAGTTTCAAGGCAAAATGAGTCAAGGGCACTTACAAGTGATCCTGGAAATCTGTCATCTCTCTGGCTCAGCAATCTACCCCAGCAGAGTTCTGCTCTGCAAACACCATATACGTGTGAGAACGTTCATCCATCTCTCTTCATCATTGAGTTGCCCATGCACGTGAAGGCAGAACGTTTGTCATTTTGATCGTATTTGATGACTCAGCCAAGTTCTTTTGTTACATGTCATGGAAAATTACTTTAAGATTCTTCAAGTACGTAAACACTAAAGATGAAAAACTATAAATAATATGAGAGGGCATGCAATAAAACAAAAATCATATCTTACCCAAATAATTTTCCTTTCTGAAGGAAATGAGTTGGAATGTTCGGGTTTAGAAGTGTTTGTCTCTTAGGGGAACTTAATCAGTTAAAACATTCCATCAGGTTTGAAGTAACCATCTTGGAGTCCACTTCTTTTCTCCCTACACTTTTACAAGTACAACTAACAGTGTGGCGTGCTCTGCAGAGAAGGGAAACATGGAAGTTAAGCCATTCCCAGAGCCCATGTTTAGAGCTGCCATATACCACGTATCTTATGACAAAAAGGCAACATAGCAAGAATTTTCCATGGATATCGCATTTTTGAGATTTGCATTCTGCTTTCTTTTCATGTTATTTAAAGTTCTAAGAGATTGACCTTTAGGAGAAACAGGCTTGATAATTCCCAAGAAATTTCTATGTGCTATGGATAAGCTACCCCCAAACGTGCCCTTTTTGCAGCTGTGTAACAAAGTGATATGTAAATGTGTTGTTTATTTTTCTGTGTCTAATATGGAAAATGTGACTTTTGTGTGCATTCATGTTCAATCCCAAAAATACCTGCCATCTCTTTCATCATTTATTGACATCACATTAAGGTTCTAGACCTACAAAAACATTTGTTCGGAGTTACAGTCCTTTAAATGTGAACCTCAGTACTTTATAAGGTCACAGACAGAGTTAAAAAGCAGGGTCTGAGAGTGTAGAAAAGAACATACTTGATGGATCTACCAAATGTACCTAATTCTTAGACTATGGAGGCCCTTGGGACAGGAGGAATTGTTTTTCATTTTCACAGGAACATGGGACTTTTAAGGACATTATATCATAGGGGATTTTAAAGGAGTCACCTTAAAATAATTATAAACTGAACTTTGGAAGTCCTTTTGTACCATTTACATGATTATCCAACTCAGAGATTACTTTCAATTAAGTTAACCTACTTAGAGGTTTTAATTATTGTGTATCTCCCTCTTCTTATTAAGGCAGTAACAGATGCAATATTCATCTTAGTTCTAATATTTTCTGCCTTTTTTTAATAGCATACCAGGTATAACTTGATTTTGGAATATTTAGAAATGAGAACTAAAATTTACTTCTGTAGTAGTAATTTTTTTAATCTTCAAAGGGTTTTTAATGTCTTATATGAGTCTATGAGAACCTCATAACATCTCAGTTACAAAGCAATAAAGAATTACACAATACAAAGTTGAAGTTTCTTTTTCTAGACCCTAAAAATCTGGACTTTGCATATTCTTTTGTGTAAAAATAAAAGCAAGAACCGGTATAGGCCCTGTGATTTCCAGAAGTGCATCTATGAATTCAGTCTACCGTAAGACAAATTGGACAGTTAGAAACAATGAATTTTGAAGACTTATTAAATTATTTTTGAAGGAAGCATCCCCCTTAAAAAGAATATTTTTCATAATGTAGAACTTTTTGGAAACAGAAGCAGAATTTTGAGTGTTCTCCTTTCATCAATTTTTTTTTTAATCCTATATTGTAATCTCCACAAGTGAAAGCCAGATTTTCTGAAGCAAACTTTTCCTCTTTGTTTTGTTGCAGCTGGGGAAAATTCTGCGAAGCCCTTTTATGAAGTTTGTAGCACACGCAGCTTCTTTCATCATCTTCCTGGGCCTGCTTGTGTTCAATGCCTCAGACAGGTTCGAAGGCATCACCACGCTGCCCAATATCACGGTTATTGACTATCCCAAACAGATCTTCAGGGTGAAAACCACCCAGTTTACATGGACTGAAATGCTAATTATGGTCTGGGTTCTTGGTAAGCCTTTTATTTATTCTACCAAAAAGTAATTATAGAAATAATTGCCATTTTCTATTGAAAAAAATGTTATTATGTCTTATATGGTGACAACATCACTGTTGCAAGATAAGCTAAATAGCAAACTAATCAAATAATTTTCTAGCTAGGTAATGCTAAAAGGTGTCCCCTAACACTAAATAAAATTTTTTATGTATAACACAACCCTAATTACAAATATACCATGTTTCAGAAATCTAATTTCAATTATTGAACAAGATGTAAGTTTTAAAATGTGACTCACTGTGATCAATTATTTAATTGAAATACTTGTGAAATAACCCAATGACTATCAACTGATGACAAATACTTTCTTTGTTGTTTAGTTCCAGAGATTTTAGGAGAGTTTTCATTTTCAGAATGTTTGTTATTAGGTTGAGTGCAAAAGTAACTGTGGCTTTTACTATTTTTAAAATGACAAAAACTTCAGTTACTTTTGTGCCAACCTATTTCATCTTACAATAACTCAATTTGAATAGCTGTGTTAAAATAAGAATTTGAAGTTATGTGAGGAAAAGAATTTGTTGTGCTCTCTGCTAAGAAATGGAGATTGGAACCAGGTTGTTTATTTCTGATTAATCCGAAGTCATTTTTGTATCTGTTTTATCCAGTGTGAGTCTTGATGTCTTCTTATTTTCTGAGTTAGTAGGTTAGTTCTTCCTCCCATTCACTCCTGTGGCCTCAGCCTAGGTCAAGTAATTATTTTATACATTTTCTTTTAAGCCATTAACTTTTTAAAAATTCTACAATATTTTCCCTTTATGTAGTCAGGACAATTTGTTAAGTTGTTAAGTTGTACTATTTTGTCCTCTTGTCCCAGAATGGCATTTTCTGCTTTCAGTTTCTTCAGAATGTCCTAGGGCCTCTCACTTAAGGGTTTCATCTTTTTCAAATAATGTTGCTCACTTTTTAGCATGACATGGAAATGAGAAGAGGGGATAAGAGTGTGATATGAGTATTATTGGTAAACCGTTCTTCTTGTTAAAAATCTTGGGGACTTATTTCTCCAATAATCACTACAGTTTGATAACTAACCATTGTGATTATATAGAACATATTTTCTTCCCCAAAAGTCTTATAGGACAACTTGAAGAACCTTCCTTGCTTATTTTCTTTCCTTCTTCCTTCTCCTCACCCCGCTCCACTACCTCCTCTACATCAATAGAGACGTTTCTGGTGCCACATGTAGACTGCTTCTCCAAATTCTAGTGTTGTGGGGTGAATTATTTTCTTAGCAGGTGCTTCTTCCATTTAACTCCGCACAGGGCCTCAGTGACCATACAGTCAGTCAGTCAATGCTTTGTGATGCCTAGTACTGTGCTTGATGTGTAGGGTATTTTAGAGATACCTGTGGCCTGGTGGTGAACACAGTAATGGCTTCTCGGTCTAGCCTGTAAAATCTGACCTGCACCTTCTGTATTTGTTGTGACAGGAATGATGTGGTCTGAGTGTAAAGAGCTCTGGCTGGAAGGACCTAGGGAATACATTTTGCAGTTGTGGAATGTGCTGGACTTTGGGATGCTTTCCATCTTCATTGCTGCTTTCACAGCCAGATTCCTAGCTTTCCTTCAGGCAACAAAGGCACAACAGTATGTGGACAGTTATGTCCAAGAGAGCGACCTCAGTGAAGTGACACTCCCACCAGAGATACAGTATTTCACTTACGGTAAGTTATTAGCTTCAGGGTCTCCTTATGTTTCAGGAAAGGTATTGGAACCACATTTTGGAAGGAAATGCCAATTAGAGTATGTTTAGTATAGGAGGTGTATTGAATATTTATGGACAGTGGAGAAATCATGAACTTTGGAACCTACAAAACTGGATTCATTTCAAGGCTCTGACCCCCTTTACTGTGTAAACTTGTTCAAGTCAACGTGCTTCACTGTGCCTCAGTTTTCATAGCTATAAAAAGACAATGTTACAAGGTGGAAGAAAATTACCTTTAAGCCTATAAAATAATTACTATTGGGAGACTGTCTTAATTAGGGAGAAAATAGTTTGATAAACTGCTTGATGTGAAAGATAAGTCCCTGAGAGCAGGAGATAGATAATAAAAGTTGCCAAACTGCTCTACAGGCAAAGTGAACAGTAATTCAGCAGAGGCAGGAAGTAGGTCCTAAAGTGACCACAAGAATGTAAGCTCTGGAGAACCAGCAGAAATGTTGGGGGAGGATGTTGTCCTGCTCACATGTCATGGAATGGGGTTCATGTCAAATATCTCTATATTATGAAGAGCAGTGAGACCTCAGCTGACACCCAGTGTGAAAGAACATTGATGCCTTCCTTGCCCCGTACAAACCAATGGTAAGTAATGTTAGCTTCCCTTCTCTTGAGGCCAAATTGAGGAGCCACAGCTAGCAAATTTGTATATAGTTGTAAAATCTGAAATCTGGAAAAGACTTTAGAAAGTGCTGTCTAATCTTCATCTTACAGGTAGGGGAACTCAGGCACAGAGTTTAACTGTGATCTGGTTATGAACAATAATTTTTTGGGGTGTAATTAGGGCACATCGTGATGAGTACAAGTAGCATGTAAACGTTATTGAAGGCTGGACTTCCCCTCCAAAATGTAAGATGTAATTAAGCACCTCTGTTGTTCTCAGCAAGCAAAGATTTTTATATACTAAGGAGACTTGCTCAAATGAGCAAATGATCACCATTTGTAATTAAAGAATTAATTTTAGATTGCATTTTATATATCTTGACTATTTCATAACCTATTTATTTAAACTTGTTCATGTATATTTAGTGGCTGTTGTCTGGAAGGGATGGATTCAGGCTTCGCTATCTTCTATATGTATTGTTTTGATCAAGTTTTTAACCTTTCTAAGTCTGGTTTCTGCATCTCTAAAAGAGGATAATAATATCAAATCCATAGGATCATTGAAAGCAGTGTTTGACACATATTAAATAGTCAAGAAATGTTAATTTTTTAAACTTTTATTTTATATTCAGAGGGTACATGTGCAGGTTTGTTACCTGAGTATATTGCATGATTCTGAGGTTTGGGGCTAGGAATGGCCTCATTACCCGGGTACTGAGCATATACCTAATAGTTGTTTTTCAACCCTTTCCTCCTCCCTCTAGTAGTTTCCAGTTTCATTGCTGCTATGTTTATGTCCATGAATACCCACTGTTTAGCTTCCACTTATAAGTGAAAACCTGCAGTATTTGGTTTTCTATTCCTGCATTAATTCACTTAGGATAATGGCCTCCAGCTGCATTCATGTTGCTGCAAAGGACATGATTTTTATTCTTTTTTGTAGTTGCATAGTATTCCATGAAGTATATGTACCACATTTTCTTTATCCAATCCACTGTTGATGAGCACCTAGGTTGATTCCGTATCTTAGCTATTGTGAATAGTGTTGCAATGAAGATGCAAGTGCATATGTCTTTTGGTAAAACAATATGTTTTATTTTGGATATATACCCACTAATGGAATCGCTGGGTTGAATGGTAGTTCTATTTTAAGTTCTTTGAGAAATCTTCAAAGTGCTTTCCACAGTGGCTGAACTGATCAATAAATGTTAAGTTTTGTTGTTATTGCAGATGTCTGCAATACATCCATTCTTTTGGGAGTGACTCAGTTTGTACAAAATTAACCACATAATGTTTCATTGACCTGACAGGTCTGCTGCAGACTTAATAAGTGACCTTGAAAGGGTTTTTAGGGGTCCTCATTCTGAATCTGTATCCAAAATTCTTTTACTTCAGTGGCATTTTACGTTTTTCAGGGACAAGTTATATTGCTGAGATATCATATTGTCAGCACCATTGTGATTCAGTGACATTCTCACTCCTCGAAATATTTTATTTGCATTAACTATTGGATGAACTAATTTTCCCACAAAATATGGGAAAGAAGTTACACTCCAGCTGTGCCTATAGGATGACAAAATAACTGGTCAGTAAATTTAATAACTGAAGGGACAAATCAGTCAAGTCAGTTGTTTTGTCATCCTGGAAACAGTCTGTGTCTAACGAAGTGTTTTAACCTCTTCATGTTTTGTATTTTATTCTGTTTCTGCTCAATGTGAAGTCAACTTAGTATCTTTATAATAGTGTACCCTCCATTGAAAGTAATATAGAGTTTACATTTCTGGTTGAAGATGAAAATAATCCCTGGACAGTTAATTAAATCTAGAGTAGTTTCAACTGAGATGGTAACCACCTACCTATAAGATAGATCCTATTTAAGGTATTTGCTTTGCATAGTTGACCATGAATAGAAAGCTCCATTTTTAATCTCTTTCTCTCTTTTTTTCTAGCTAGAGATAAATGGCTCCCTTCTGACCCTCAGATTATATCTGAAGGCCTTTATGCCATAGCTGTTGTGCTCAGCTTCTCTCGGATTGCGTACATCCTCCCTGCAAATGAGAGCTTTGGCCCCCTGCAGATCTCTCTTGGAAGGACTGTAAAGGACATATTCAAGTTCATGGTCCTCTTTATTATGGTGTTTTTTGCCTTTATGATTGGCATGTTCATACTTTATTCTTACTACCTTGGGGCTAAAGTAAATGCTGCTTTTACCACGTAAGTAAAACATCTTTTTATAAAGGAAAGAGAAATTCTAACCAATCTACAGAAAGCAAAGGAAAAATTTCTCTGATTGTAATAAAGATGTTTTTAAGCACAGAAAATAATCCATCAAAAACAGTTAGTGCTTGTGTGTGATTACATTGCTCTGAAGGCTCATCTCTGAGCTTAGTGAGAGTTTAACCACAGAATGGGTCAGAATTTGGAAAAACCCTAGACAAAACTGGCTATATTAAGAAAACAGGATAACAGATTTATAATACTGGGTGTCTCTTGCATTATGTATAACATTAAAATTAGTTTCATCATTTTATAGTCAATACTCTTCTTTCAAAAAGGAAGCATCAGCTTTTATTTTAATATATTCATTGATCAGTACAGGGAGTCGAGTAAGAGGAAATTATAGCCAAACATTTTATAGCCCACTATCATGGTAATACCAGTTTCTTCCTTTGGCCATACTGGTTTCTGCACTGGAGACTCACCTCTTCCATGAAGTCTTCCTTGATCAAGTTTCCTTAGTCATTTTCCCTTTAAGTTCCTTCAGCATGGAGACACCCAGATTGTGAGATCTCTTCTCACCCGGTGGTGTTTTGTTGCCATGGACATAGGGCCCCTGCTGTGTACTGCAGTTCTTCCAGGTGGGGAGGTCATAAACCCTTCCTGCTCTCCCTTTGTTCCCAATAATGCCACTACTGGAAACAAACTATACACTCAGTAAGTACTCTATAGACCACAGTAGAATATCAAGCCCTTGTAGACATCTCAATTGTTCTAAAATGAATTTTTTAATAGTTAATATAGAACAGGTCTTGGAGGTGAAAGAGATTTGAAACTCGCTTTATTGTAATGAAGAAAAAAACCTGTTTTGAACCCAGCAGGGAAATGACAAAGAGATCTTGCACACAGTGTGACCCCTGCCCCCATTTTCCTTTTAACTCTATGGTAACTCATTTTATACATTCTATTTTCTTCAGTGTTTTTTCTAGGGATGTGACCATACAATGTAATAGAAAGGACACAGGCTGAAAATCATGCAGACCTGAATTTGAATGTAGTCTCTGCTGTTTTCTAGCTGTGGCTTTTGGTTAAGTTCCTGAACATTTCTCAGTGTCAGTTTCCTTATTTTTAAAATAAGCACAATAAAGTTTAAATAAGGTCGTTGTGACAATTATGTAAGGTGAGTTATATAAAGCCTCTTGCCCACAGTAGGAGCTCAGAACTGCCAGTGTCCTTTCCTTTTTTACTATCCCCCTCTTCCCACACATGCACTCCATATAGATTTGAAGAGAAGCGAGGGGCAGCAAGGTTTGCAAAGGAGCAAGAAGAAGGTGCAGGAGAATTTTGTGACACAGTCAAATAAATGGCAGGAACAAAAAGGTTATGGTTTTTCTTACTCTGCTGTCAGCATCTATGCCATAACATCACACAGCCAAATGTTTCGTAATAGAGAGTAACTATACAGGAATAGAGTTCTATTCAGCCCTCCATCCTCAGGGTGTAGCAAAATTTCTAGAACATAATAGATGCTCTGTTAATATTTGTTTTATGAGTGAATGAATAAACTAGTACTAAAACCTACAAATCTATAAAATTCGTTGTTATTTAGGATGTGTTATAACAAACTTAAAACGTACTTTTTCACAAATCTTTCTCTGAGAAAGAAAAAGACTTACTTTTGAAGGTGTAATGGAATTTTATGTGTGTAAATCTTTAATTTAATTATTATTAATTTAGTTCACCAGTGATTACAATTTGGTTCTGTGACAAAACCACCCAAATACATGTTGCCAAATATCATTTAATTAAGGGACAAAAGTAGGTAATTAGTCTGGTGAGGGTCTAAGTGCTATTTGTTGTGGTAGAAGAATCAGGAAGTACATTATATAAATTAAGGGAAAAGAACAGGAGTCTTTCATTCTGTTGCCTCCTCTTCATTTCCAGTTAAGTATTTCTAGGTAGGTAATATATTCCTGTGATAAAAAATTTAAATAGAGAGGCATCTACAGGGAAATGCCTGTCCTTCTCCCTACCCTTGGCACAGTCTCTTACTTCTCCTTAGTTCCCAGAGGCAATGGTTACTTTTGAATATTTTCAGAGATATTTTTTATATAAAAAAGAATATAAGTATTTGTATGCCTTTTTTATTTAAATGATAGAATATTTCACACTTGCTATATCTTATTTTTTCATTTAGTATATCTTTGATATAATTTTATATAAACACACAAAGCTCGATCTGTCTCATTTTCCCACAGCGGCTGCATAGCATTCCATCATATGGATATACCAGAATTATTTAGCCTGTCCCCTATTGATGGGTATTTAGATTACTTTCATTCTTCCCTACTGCAAATGATGCTGCAAGGAATATGTTTTTACATACTTTTAAAAAATTGGTTATATAATTTTAATCCCAACCCTGTTCTACTACAGAAAACCTGATTTAAATTTCTAAATCACATACAAAATCAGACAGCAAATTCCCCTTTTTGTAGGAGAAAGGAATGGTTATTGTGACTTGACTTCAGCTTTCTCCTGTGGAGTTCAGAGAATTTTCACTTGATGATAACTTCAGAAAAGCTAGGCATTAGCACCATTTAATCACCAGTTCCTGAAAACCTGAGAGAATAATTTTTCTATGAAATGTCATAACAGAGTGATTATACTCTTGGAGTAGATTATGGTGGCATTTTACACCTGTACAGTAATTAGACCCTAACTTGTTTTTTACTTTTCACTCTTAGATATTGAAAACTGTTAACTTACTTACTTTTTACCTTATTTTTTCAACAGTGTAGAAGAAAGTTTCAAGACTTTATTTTGGTCAATATTTGGGTTGTCTGAAGTGACTTCTGTTGTGCTCAAATATGATCACAAATTCATAGAAAATATTGGATACGTTCTTTATGGAATATACAACGTAACTATGGTGGTCGTTTTACTCAACATGCTAATTGCTATGATTAATAGCTCATATCAAGAAATTGAGGTAAATCTGTTTTCTATCCATAGTGTCTATCCTTGTCATCCTATTCTGATAGTATACATCTGCTTCTGTACCCTGTGGCTGAGCTCCAGCTCATGTAACAAAGAGGCTTATATCCACACAGAGCCTGGGCCTTTCCCTGTGTTTTCTACCTGGATAGATAGCTATCCACATTCTGGTGTCTTCTAGGTGCACAGCAGGGTTCCCCATGAATTTATTGCTGCGCTGCCTTCTCTCAGGGTATACTTCAGAAGTTTTGAAATAAGTGGCTAGAAAAAGTATTGGCCCTAAGGAAATTACTCTCTTTTCAATTAGCCAGCCCACCATTCTACCTGGTAGAATGACCAGATGTTTGGCAAACACTAATGGTGTTCTTTATCCAGTCAAAATTTTGAGTATTCTAGAAATCTCTTGATTCTTGGTTTTGGATTGGGCTGGGTTTGGTACCTCTCTTCACTGTTGTATATATGTTTTCTTATGTCCTTCACTTTAGTGTTCAGTGTCTTTTTAGTGCTTTGTGGTTTGTTAACTCCACCAAATCTCTATGTATGTTTTAGAAACTCATAATATATAGTGTCCTCAAAGTAGAAGTTTTGGTCCTAATGGCCTTCTAGGCTGTGTGAACTGAGAGAGGCAGCTTCCTCCTAGGACGAACCCCCTTCCCTTCATTTCTCCTATCAGTTAGGGTGGTTATCTCCATCACTGTGGGCAGCACAGAGAATGAAAGGAAATGTAAGACAGGATCAGGCTACTCAGGGGCTTATGTGACATTTGGGGACATACGGTAAACACAGAAATACCAAAAAGCAATTCATCTGAGAATCATTTTTTCCCCTTGCCCTTGAAATATAATATGCTGTGTCTACAACCTGGCTTGGATAGGTATAGGTGAGGAAGGAGGATGGGAAATAGGCAACTATTGTCAAACATGCAGAATTGACTGGGTGGGGGACAGAGGGAGGAATTAATCTTTTTATCCTTCCTTGGCACTCTATTTTTCTTGTCTTTTTGCTTTGTTTTTGGATGGTAGACAGGAAGTTCTGGTTAAATTTCAGTGGGTACAGGTAGAGGCATATGAAAGAGAATGAGAATCTTTTATTTGAAAAATGAGAATATTATGTAGGTCTATAGAATATATGTAGATAAATGTGTATAAGTTACCTATGTCAAAAACATAACTTAGATTCATTGTAAAAAACCTATTAGCATCAGTTACTAGAATATTTAGCTTTTAAAATTAGGTTTTTTCTGTTTTGTGACACAGGATGACAGCGATGTAGAATGGAAGTTTGCTCGTTCAAAACTTTGGTTATCCTATTTTGATGATGGAAAAACATTACCTCCACCCTTCAGTCTAGTTCCTAGTCCAAAATCATTTGTTTATTTCATCATGCGAATCATTAACTTCCCCAAATGCAGAAGGAGAAGGCTTCAGAAGGATATAGAAATGGGAATGGGTAACTCAAAGTCCAGGGTAGGTATCGAAAACTTACCAAGACCTTAAAATAAATGTTCTGTCTCTTTTTTTTTCTTGTCTTTTGATGTTTGTTCAATAATTTTTATGTGTGAACTTAGAAGATGTCAAAAGTAACTGTCTAGTCCAGTCTTTCACAGACTAATACTAAATATTTTCATGATGTTTCAAGAAGTCACTGAGTCAAGGCCCTGTTTTGATCAGAACATCATATAAACTGCCAGATTGTGAACAAACAAGCCTTTAACTTGTTAAAAGTAACCAGAAAAGTTACTGTTAGAAAACACTTTGTTTTTGTGTGTTCTGTGCTTCTCAACTGTTATTCTGAAGTTACATAGTTTAAACTTCCAGCCTTCCTCTTGTTGTATGTATAGTTCACCACCACCATATTCTCCTTTTTTGTAGAAACTTTTTATTTGGCTAAATAATCTTTTTTCCATTAGTGCCATAAAATAGATACAGGCCCAAGAGCATCCTCAAATAATCATAAGTACTCATTTTATAAATAAGCAAGAAACCCTTGAGTTATCCCAGTTGAGTCATAGTTTAATTTTAACAAAGAAGATAATTTTCATGATGGTACTTTGTTATCATGAACTAACTTTCAGAGATAGAATTGGTATAGATAGATGGATGTGAGTGAACCTAAATAATAGGGAATGAGGCAGACAGGAACAAAGTTATGAAGTATAACTTTTTCTAAAATTGTGCAAATGGTCTGTAGCTATAACATCCTAAAAGCCCACAAGATATCAATGTTATCTCCATAAAGCGTTTGCCTTCCTGAGTGAAGGTAGATATTTTTTCTCAGTTGAAACTGGGAGAAAAAGCTAAGATTAGTGCAATTTGATTTATTGCTTTTTAAAATTGTTTTGAATCTTCAAGAATTGCATTCTTTAAGAAAGTGACTTTTTAAATCTTTTTTTGTTTGACCTGGATATGGGCTCTTAAGGCTATTGGGTTACAAGTCAGCAATTGGTTGTGACAGCCCATAATTTAAAATAATACCTCATGTATGCAGTGAGAAGCAGTATAACACAAAGAAGAGAGCTTCGGCATTAGACCTGGATTTGAATTGTGGCACTTGTGGCTTATTAGCAAGGAACATGGATAAATCACTTCACAACTCTGAGCCTTAATTGTCCACCAGTTGTAGACAATTGTCTAACTCTGTAGAGTTGTTGTGAGGATTATATGAGATCTACAAAGTTCCAGCCTCAACAAATATCAGTGCCCTTCCTCATTCACAGTTTACAAAGTGCTTTGCTGTACATTTGAACCTCATGCAACGCTGTGAGGTAGGTATTATCATTATTCCCATTTTATAGATAAGACAATTGAAGCTATTCAGATAACTTGCTTATGCGAGGTCACATAAACTGACCAGTGTGGGGTAGGTGAAGAATTCAAGTATTTTAGCATCAGATGCCTAGCTCTCTCTGTGGCACCTGGATGCCTCATGCTCAGCACCTGAGTCCACCCTTGGTTACCGGCCCACTTCCTCTCAGCAAGCTGTACCTTCAGCTGTGAGGTAACTGGTCTCTTAAAGGAGTCGGGCTCTAGTTGTCACCCTGGGCAGCTCCTGCTGCTACTGAAATTGACTTTGCTTTGAGGGGTCTTTGTTTTTCTGGGGATTTATTAACTGAGACTTTATTGCAAAAAAGAAGTCTCTCAAATGTGGGAGCTCACAACCCTTGCACTTCACAGAACATACCTTGAATTTTCTTTTTCTAGGCAACAGGTCTCACTGACTTCATTCCTGATATTATCATAATGTAGAAGGGGAAATACTAAACGTTAGGTTGAGAGGAGCACACACAGTAGGCTTGTGGCTACCTAGACCCCTGTAAAGAAAACACAGCCTGTTCACAGGAACGGGAAGGAAGCGTTGCATTTAGGCTGTCCTCTCCTGCCTGTATGGTACCATTGACAGGAAAGAATAGCCTTTCTCAGAGAAGATGCTAGAAATAGAAAGTTGGACACTGATCTCTCAGGAGGCTTGCTCCTCGACTTTCCACTCTTCCCATATCTGGTTAAAAACTGCCACAATAAATAAATAAATTTTTGATTTTATTTTTTAAATTTTGCATACAGACGTTTACATCTCTCTAATATTACTCATATTCATAGATACTCTTCATGTATTGAATGTAGCAGAAATTTGGAGAAATTATATTTTTCTATTTCTCTTTTTTAGAAGAGAGGAAGGAGCCTCGAGAAATCTTTCCTGCTAACCTAGACAGCTAACCTCAGTCAGCAATCAGATACTGGCCTCCAGTGGTTGATTGGAGAATTAACTTTTTGTTAGCTAAGGTTTTCGCCAGGCACAATTGTAAGAGAGCAAAGAAAGGTCCTTTCCTATCAGCGCTACTTCCTTCTCTCTTAGCATCCCACACCTTCCTGAGTTACAATGGTGGGAAGTTAGGTGGTGAGGTGAATCATCTCTTCGGCTAGAGGGCCACATCTTGAAATCACACCTTACAGTGGCAGAGCTTGTCCACAGATAAGAAGACCTGCTGATATACGTGCAGAGTAGGTAGTACCTGTGGGTTCCTCTTGTTTCCTGTTCCCACCCACTCAAAAGCTAAACCTTAAAAAGAAAAAGAGAGAAAAGAAAAGGAAACCAAAATTCTTTAGCCCAATTCTCTCCAAAATTGTGAACCTGACTCAGTATAAGGCCAAGATACTTTGGAAGATGGATTATTTTGGCTAATATTTTAGGGCTGCAAAATACCAAATGGTGCCATCTGAACCTGCAATGTGTTTCTATTCAAGTCTAGGAGAGGAACTTAAGACTCAGGAACAGATCAAACTTCTATGGAACTTGGCCTTCTAGATGCCTTGAGTACATTTTGATAAAGTATGCAAGGTCCCCAGGAAAAATTATGTTTCTTATGAGCCAATTTTTAACATATAATTTCAATTAAATAGTTCTATTACAGTAGTACATTGTGCCAACATTTCGATAAATGTGAGCATATTACTCACAGTAATTTTAACCTTTGGGAATATATTACATCACTTACAAAGCTCAACTTCCACAAAATGTTTCTTGGGAATGTTGACTCCAGAAATGTTATCAAGGAGAATAAATGGATTATATTTTTTATTCCAAATGAATATATTCTAATTTACTAGGTTAATTGTATTTTTTCCTAGTTAAACCTCTTCACTCAGTCTAACTCAAGAGTTTTTGAATCACACAGTTTTAACAGCATTCTCAATCAGCCAACACGTTATCAGGTAAGCATTCATTAGACGTATCTCTTGATCTGTATGTGATTCCATATATGTCTGCGTGTGTGTTTGTGTGTGTGTCATGAGTTGAATTATATTCTTGAGATATGCCATGAGGATAGCTCAGAACAAAGAAAATGATTCAACACCTGTGAAATTTTTTTAAAAAATTAAAAATAAAAGAAAATAGTATGTTAGTTGGAGGAGACTTTAGAAATCAGAGTCCAAGTCCTTCATTGTTTTAACTGAGTTCCTCTCACAATATTGAAAGCAAAGTGTTGCTACAATTACCAAATAATGTATAACTTAAACTGGAGAAAGCAGTAGAAGACAGAGTACGTTAGAATGAATAATTCTCCCACAGCAGAAAAACTTGGTTTTTCTCTATGTTTTTCTTTCAGGTGATCCATTTTTTAAATGGATTGTTTGGCTATACTGTTTCATGAGTACTACTTTAAAATATCTTCTGCATTTTGATACTGGATGTGACATTTGAACACTATTCTCCAACTCAGGGGAAGTTATAGCCCTTTGTTTTTCATCTAGTTGATCATTTTGATCATCAAGTCTTTGACTTTCTGATGTGTATAAGTTCACAAAAGTGAAGATCAAGGAATTTATAATATATTGGTGATGTCAATTACTGCATATTGTTCTATTCCTTATCCAATTTTTTTAGAAGCAGGAAACCACAAAATGACTCAGCACACTAATTGTCAGAGTCTTTTTTTTTTAAGAAAATTTTTGTAAATTTTACGTATTTGTTTATTTTTGTGTTATTGATTTTGTCTAACTTTATTTTTAATTGATAAATAATTGTACATATTCATTGTCTACATAGTGATGTTTTGATACATATATAGGGATCAGATCAGGGTAATTAGCATATCTGTCATCTCAGACATCTATCATTTCTTTGTGTTGGTAACATTCAATATCCTCCTTCTAGCTATATGAAACTGTATGATATTAAAATATCATTGTTAACTATGGTCATGCTATAATAGTGTAGAACAGTGGTCCCCAACCTTTTTGGCACCAGGGACCGGTTTTGTGGAAGACAGTTTTTTCACGGATGGGGTGGGGTGATGGTTTCAGGGTGAAAGTGTTCCACCTCAGATCATCAGGCATTAGATTCTCATAAGGAGTGCGCAACCTAGATCCCTAACATGTGCAGTTCATAATGGGTTCACAATAATAGGAGAATCTAATGCTGCTGCTGATCTGACAGGAGGTGGAGCTCAGGCGGTAATGCTCACTTGCCAGCCTCTCACCTCCTGCTGTGCAACCTGGTTCCCAACAGGCCACGGACAGGTGCCAGTCCTTTGCCTAGGGGTTGGGGATTCCTGGTGTAGAACATTAGAACTTATTCCTCCTATCTAGTGGTAATTTTGTTTCCTTTAACAAATCTCTCCATATCCCCCCCACCCCTACCTTTCCCAGTCTCTAGTATCCTCTGTCCTACATTTTACCTCTATGAGATCAACTTTTTTTAGCTTCCGCATATGAGATAGAACATGCGGTGCTTAACTTTATGTTCTTGGCTATTTCACTTAACATAATGTCCTCCAGTTCTATCCATGTTGCTGCAAATGACAGGATTTCAATCTTTTTTATAGAGTCCATTGTGTATATATACCACATTTTTTATACATTCATCTGTTAGACACCTAGGTTGATTTCATATTTTGAATATTATGAATAGTGCTGCAATAAAACATGTGGGTGCAGTTGTCTCTTTGATAGGATGATTTCTTTTCCTTTAGATAAATTCCCAGGAGTGGGGTTGCTGGATCATACGGTAGCTCTATTTGTAGTTTTTGGAAAATCCTCCATACTGTTCTACATAGTGGTTGTACTAGTTTACATTCCCACCAATAACATTAGAGTTCTCTTTCTCTGCGTTCTTGCCAGCATTTTTTTTTTTTTTTTTTTGTCTTTTTGATTGTAGCCATTCTAACTGGAGTGAGATGATATCTCATTGTGGTTTGGTTAGTGATGTTGAGCATTTTTTCATCTATTGTTGACCATTTGTATGCATTCTTTTGAGAAATGTCTGTTCAGATTATTTGCCCATTTTTAATTTTTTTTTTTTTTTTTTGCTGTTGAGATTATTGAGTTCCTTGTATATTCTGGATATTAATCCCCTGTTGGATGAGCAATTTGCAAATATTTTCTCCCGTTTCGTAGGTTGTCTTTTCACTGTTGTTGTTTCCTTTGTTGTGCAGAAGTCTTTGGTTTGGTATGATTCCATATGTTTATTTTTGCTTTTGTTACTTGTGCTTTTGAGGTCTTGTTCATAAAGTATTTTCCCAGACCAATGTCCTGAAGCATTTCTCCTATGTTTTTTTCTACTAGTTTTATCATTTCAGGTCTTACATTTAGGTCTTTGATCCATTTTGCACTGATTTTTATACAAGGTGAGAAGTGGGAGTCTAGTCTCATTCTTCTGCATATGGATATCCAGTTTTCCCAGCATCCATTACTGAAGAGACTGTCCTTTTCCCAATGAGTGTTTTTGGCATCTTTGTAAAAACTCAGTTGGTTCTAGATACATGGATTAATTTCTGAGTTCTTAATTCTGTTCCATAGTTTATGTGTCTGTTTTTTTTTTTTTTTTTTTTTTGCCAGTACCATGTGGTTTTGGTTTCTACAGCCTAGTAATATATTTTAAGGTCTGATTGTGTGATACTTCCAGTTTTTTTCTTTTTGCTCAGGATTGCTTTGGCTGTTTAGGGTCTTTCATGATTCCCTACAAATTTTAGGATATTTTTCCTGTTTCTGTGAATAATGTCATTGGTATTTTGATAGGAGTTGCATTGAATCTGTAGATTGCTTTGAGCACTATTGTCATTTTAACAGTAGTAATTCTTCTGATCCATGAGCATGGGGTACATTTCCCTTTGTATCCTCTTCAGTTTCTTTCATCAGTGTTTTGTAGTTTTCCTTGAAGAGGTCTTTCATCTCCTTGGTTAATGAATTCCTGGGTATTATAAATGGCATTGCCTTTTTTGTTTTCTTTTTCACATAGTTTGTTGTTCGTGTATAGAAATGCGACTGATTTTTTGTATGTTAATTTTGTATTCTGCAACTTTACTGAATTTGTTTATTAGTTCTAAAAGTTATTTGGTAGAGTCTGTAGGTTTTTCAATGTATGAGATCATGTTGGCTGCAGACAGGGACAATTTGATTTCCTTCTTTCCAATTTGGATACCCTTTCTTTCTTTCTCTTGCCTAATTGTTCTGGCCAGAACGTCCGGTACTATGTTGGATAAGAGTGGTGATAGTGGGCATCCTTTTCTTGTTACAGTTCTAAAAAAGCTTCCAGCTTTTCCCAGTTCAGGAATATGTTAGCTGTGGGTTTGTTATATGCCTTTATTACATTGAGATTCTTTCTTTCTATACCTAATTTATTAAGTTTTTTTATCATTAAGGAATACTGAATTTTATGAAAAGCTTTTATCATCTGTTGAGATAATCATACAGTTTTTATCCTTCATTCTGTTGATGTGATGCGTGATGTTTATTGGTTTTTGTATGCTGAAACATCCTTGCATTCCTGGGATAAATTCCACTTATCAAGTGGGATTTTGATGTGATTTTGGATTTGATTTATTCGTATTTTATTGAGGATTTTTACATCTATGTTCATCAAGGATATTGGCCTGTAGTTTTATTGAGTGCTTATTTTGGTATTGGGGTTATACTGGTCTCATAAAGTGAGTTAAGAAGAATTCCTTCTGCTTTAATTTTTCCGAATAGTTTGAGAATAATTGGTATTAATTCTTCTTTAAAGGTTCAGTGGAATTCAGCAGTGAAACCATTTGGTCCTGGACTTTATTTTATTATTATTTTTTTAGAAGATGTTTTATGCACTCATTTAATCTTGTTACCTGTTTTTGGTCTGTTTAGATTTTCTATTTCTTCTTCATTCAATCTTGTAGATTGAATGTGTCCATGATTTTATCTATTTTCCCAGGTTTTCTAATTTATTGGCATATGGTTATTCATAGCAGTCTCTAGTGATCTTTCATATTTCTGTGCTATCCATTGTGATGTCTCCTTTTTCATTTTCTGATTTTACTTATTTGAGCCTTATCTCTCTGTTTTTAAGTTACTCCAGCTAATGGTTTGCCAATTTTGTTTGTCTTTTTAAAAAAAACCTTTGTTTTGTTGATTTTTTGTATTTAGTCTCAATTTTGTTTATTTCTGCTCTAATCTTTATTATTTCTTCTACCAATTTGGGGTTTGATTTGTTCATGCTTTTCTTTCATGCTTTTTTCAAGCATTTTTTATGCTTTTTTTCCCCTTTATGTGCTTCATTAGATTGCTTATTTGAAATCTTTCTAGTTTTTTGATGAATGTTGGCATTTATTGCTATAAACTTGGCGCTTACTCCTGTTTTTGCTGTGTTGTATGGGTGTTGGTTGTATTTCTATTTTCACTCATTTCAAGGAATATTAAAATTTCATTCTTAATTTTTTCCTTGACCCATTGGTCATTCAGGAATATGTTGCTTAATTTTCATGTATTTGCATAGTTTCAAGTGTGCCTTTTGTTATGATGTCTAATGTTATTCCATTGTAGTCAGATAAAATACTTGATATAATTTTGATTTTATTAAGTTCCTGAGACTTGTTTTATGTCCTAACATATGGTCAATCCTAGAGAATGTACCACGTGCTGATTAAAAGAATATATGTTTTGGGGTTGGGTCTGGTAGCTCACACCTGTAATCCTAACACTTTGGGAGGCCAAGGCAGAGGGATTGCTTAAGCTCAGGAGTTTGAGACCAGCCCGAGCAACATGGTGAGACCCCACCTCTACAAAAGTGAAAAAAATTAACCAGGCATAGTGGCACATGCCTGTAATCCTAGACACTTGGGAAGCTGAGGTAGGAGGATCTCTTGAGCCCACGAAGTTGAGGCTGCAGTGAGCCATGATTGCACAACTGCACTCCAGCCTAGGGGACAGTGTGAGACACTGTCTCAAAAAAGAAACAAAAA